CAGGCTGCACAGGTACTGGCGGCCCTGAATCCCTAAAGACTACATATCGATCTCGGTCATCAAGAACACCCTCCATGAGTTCCAGAGCCCCTAGACTTCTGGACCAGGGCGGGCAGGTACTTCGAGGTCCCACGGGGGCAACCACAAAGATGTATTGAGGCCGTTCCAGAACGGGCATGAGATACGGGGCCCCGACCACCGTATCCATCACGACTGGCATATGTGAGCTACTCGGGCAGTCAGTCAAAACTTTGGGCTGCTTCAGGAAGTGCTCGAAACAGCGCGACCCCCTGAAGAAATCGATTGTAGATTTCGCCCTCTTAGTGTATAGTCTTGCCTTATCTGGCGTGATCACCTGGACCCCAGCCCTGGCCGGGAACTCCGTTTCGATCACTTTGCTTGGATTGACATTGAAGTCGCCAGCGATGAGCAGCGGCACGTGCTGGCTGGAGGCGGCCTGGGCCACCTGGGCAAGCACGGCGAGGCTTTCCTCATTCAGGCCGACGAAGTCGGCCAAGTAGATAGATCCCAAACAGAAGGGCTGCTGACCTGGGACTTCAAGGCAGACGAGTGTAGCCCGAGACTGCTGGAAGCCTTCTGCAAGAGGTACTTTGTGGATTGCAGATTCCAAGATCTAGCCCGTTGCGCACTAGTACACCAGTGCCCTGACACGGGAACCCTTGGCACTCAGAACCGCAGGCGACAAAACTGCTAACCATCCCCTGTTAGCACGCCATTCGGTTTCCTTGGCCAGATCCTGCGCTTGGAGGCGAGTTTTCTGGTAGCAGATAACCTGGACTGATTTCGCCTCTTTGGATCCAAAAAAATTAAAATACCAGTCCAGGTACTGCAATTGAACATGCAAATCGTGAGGGCGCCACCCAGTCGACGGCCTTGCCTCGCCCGAGCCTGCATTGCCAGCGGGGCCTGACTTGGCCTTGGCCTGGCGCTTGGCGAGCCTGCCCTGCGCTGAGACCGCCTCCTCGCCGAGGCCGAAAATGCCCGTGGATATGTGGAGGACCGGGCTCTCACCCTCGGCGACGTGCTTGCGAACCGTGCCGCGGTCGTCATCCACTGCCATGGCGGGGAGTTGGGATCTGTGCACCTCAAGCGGCGGGGGTTTCAGGAACTGCTCCTGCAGCTGGCACAAGTTGGTCTGCAGGTTGCTGCACCTGCGGCTGCTGCTGCTGCTGCCGCCACTCCTGCTCCAACTTGGCGTTGACCGCATTGGGCTCTGCCTGGATGTGGAGCGGCACCCCTGCGGGAAACGCGTGTCCACGCAGGTGGGCAGGGTGTCGTCCTTATGATTAGCATTGAGGCGAGCTGCTGCCTCAGCCATCGCTGCCTTCGCCGCCACCCTGTGCTGGGCCTCCAGACCTCGGCAAGCAGCTCGCTGTACGAGTCCACAGACTTGCCATGCAGCTCGGCAGCCTTGTCCAAATTGATGAGGTTACGTTCGGCTTCTCCTTTCTTAAACTCCAAGCGGCGCCGTTGTCGCTGAAGTTGATCCGCCAGTGAGTGGGTCTTGGCGTCCAGCGACTTGCCCTCGGGGGCCTTGTTCTTTGCCTGGCGGAGGTCCCCACAAGCCTGCAAATACTGTTTGCCCTCCTGCCCGACCGTCTTCTTCCAGAAGTTGGCCGCCTGGATGCATGTGGCGACGTCCTTGGCTGGGTCTGAGGCCTCGGGGGCGAAGGACGCCTTTGGGCCACCTTCCTTCGGCGGTTGAGCTTCATGTCTGCGGGCACCACGGCTACGAGACCATCTGTTGCGACAAGCCTGCTGCTGATGGTTGCCTCCATGATCATGCACAACTGATTTGTCACCTGCAGCACGGGAATGATGGGATTGAGGTTTGAAAGGCTTGCCACATTCAGCACAATGCTTGTGTCCACCAGCCCCTTGACAGGTCCAACCCCAGCAGTGCGGCGTCCGGCAGTAGCATGATTTCCATTGCTTGGAGCCTCCCATTGCGGCGGGGAGACTGACCTGCCGTTCGCAGCTGCGACCAGCAAGAGACAAAAATGTGGCGGTGAGGTATGGCTGCTACCCTGGGCCGAGGCAGCCAGGCCTGTGGAAGGCTGCCCTTCCACCTCGGCCTCGAGCCTCTGGAGTCCGGACGGGGAGGAGTTCCCGTCTTGAGCCAAAATGGCTACGGGGGAGGATGAGGAGGAGGAGGAGGAGGAGGAGGAGGAGGAGGAGGAGGAGGAGGAAGGGGAGGAGGAGGAGAAGCAGAAGGAGGAGGAGGAGGAGGAGGAGGAGGAGGAGGAGGAAGGGGAGCAGCAGGAGCAGGCAACACACGTCATGGTTTTGGATGAGCGCGCGCGTCACCCCGGCAGGGCCGACGCGTCTGTGGTGCATGCTCGGGCGATGCCCGAAGGCTCGGGGAGACTGGGGAGAGGGAGGCCAGCCAGTCTCGGCGCCCGGAGCCCGACGTGTGAAGCACATCGCCCGGGGAGCTGCCGCGGGGCGCCCCGTCGGGCAGATCGTGCCCGTGTGCTCCCAGCCCTCCTGTGCTAAGTTCTCGTTTTGAATAGAGCACTGTGGTCTCCATCCTTCCTCCTCATGCCTCCCCGTCCTCTACTTGCTCTAAAGTCATCTGTGAAGGACAACATTCCCTTATACGTGATTTTATACTCGAAGTTCATGAATGTATTACATTCTTTTTAGAATTTGATGAATTCACAACATGTATTGTATTACTTCCAAACAAATAAAGGAGCTATGACGGAAACAATTGGTATACGAAAAAATGGAATCAAACTCACTAATAATGATACATACATTGCCCCAGTCATAGGTATTGAACCTAATGCAGCCATTGTTAAATCAGTTTCATTGCAATTTACATATTGATTCCATACATGAATACTCAATGTCTCCTCTTCCTCCTCCTCCTCCTCCTCCTCCTCCTCCTCCTCCTCCTCCTCCTCCTCCTCCTCCTCGCGGCTCCCTAGAAGGCTGCGAGCTGCGCAACTGTTGCCAACTTCGTGGGCTCCTGGGAGGTCCAGCGGAGTCGGTAGTCTCGCACACCCCATTGAGACCTCACGGTTCCCTAGGGGGCTGCGAGCTGCGCAACTGTTGCCAACTTCGTGGGCTCCTGGGAGGTCCAGCGGAGTCGGTAGTCTCGCACACCCCATTGAGACCTCGCGGTTCCTTAGGGGGCTGCGAACTGCGCAACTGTCGCCCCTTTCGTGGGCTCCAGGGAGGTCCAGCGGAGTCGGTAGTCACTGGTAGTCCCGCACACCCCGCCGAGACCTCGCGACTCCCTTGGGGGGGTCGAACTACGCAACTGCTGGGCTCCTGGGAAGTTCAGCGGAGTCGGTAGTCACGCACACCCCCTTGAGACCTCGAGCTGTACTTTTCACACAGCTGTGTACTGACTCCTTCCAATCCGATCCCACACCGATGGCTTCTGCGGGTGACGGCGACACGCGAATCCCAGGTACCCCCGCCAGGCAGCTGCATAAACAGCATAGGATCCACAGCCCGCTCCATGAAATGGATGGGTTGGATGATGGCACCGCGGCAAAAGGTGGAGGAGAAGGGTATGTTCAAGCAGTACCTGTAGCCTCTGCAGCGGGACGTTGCAGCTACCAAACTACATGGGATGCCCAGGGATGAATTAAAGCAAGCTCGGGAAATTGTCTCGGTGGACGTGGACAAACTCACAACAAGCGTCGACTTCCTGGAACGATCGGGATCCGTGTCGTCATCGGCAACCTCAAGAACAGCGCTAACCATGACATTGCAGATCGAACGGAAAAGATCAGCATTGGAACAAAAACATGGTTCTGAGTTGACGGCAGGCCGGGATCGAGAATGCAGTGTGGTTGTTGGGGTGGTGGGTAACTTCTCGGGTGTGGATACAGCCGTGACGTCCTGAAGGGCCAGTTCGAACGCACCCACGTGCCAGAACACATCGGCGTCTTCACGAAAAGCGCGCCCAAGATGGCTTCAATATGTCACTCAGACGGCCGAATAGGCACCCAATACGGCCCAAAATTGCCCCAAGATTTTCCGAGAGGCCTCGAAGACGGCCCAAGCGGGCTCCACGAGGATCTCTAGGAGGCCAACATCACAGATTCGCCTTTGGGATTCCACTGATGTTTGCGTTCTCACCTTTTCGGGCTTTCGCCGCTCCAAGACGGCCCCGCTTGCCACAAAGGTCGCACCAAAATAGCCCAAGAGGCCTCCGAGAGGCCCGCAAGGCGGCCCAAGATGGCCCCAAGACAAGCCTAAAGGCCCCCAAGACTGCCCTAAAGCGCCCTCAGAGAGGCCCACGACAGCCCAGAGAGGCTACCAAAAAGGCCTCCGAAGGGCAAGAGGCCCCTAAGGATCCCAGAGGCCCCCAAGAGGACCCCAGGAGGCCCCAGAAGGCCCCCGACAGGTACCAGGAAGCCCCGAAGAGGCCCGTCAGAGGCCTCCAAGAGGTTCCCAGGAAACCCCCATGAAGCCACAAGACTGCCTCATAAAACCTCCTCCGCCTCCTCCTCCTCCTTCTCCTCGTTCTCCTCCGCGTGCTACTTCCCCTCACTCTCATCTTTTCTCTCGCTCACAAGTGTTTCCAAAAGGGGCCCACAACGGCTGTGAAAAAAAAACCTAGTCCATTGGCTGGGCAAGACTTTGGCTCAACGTTTGGCCGCATGGGCGCTTCCAAAACGCAAGGGGCGGCCGTGGTTCGCTGCAGGCGTCTTCGATACTCGTTTGAAATGGCCATGACATATGCCCTGCTAGCGCAGGCAAAACCTAACAACAAGACAAACTTGACCGACAAGCCACAGGAACCCCTCAAGATCAGTCCATGTTCTCACAGATCAAATACATGGAACACGAGGCTGACATCCAGCTACACCTGTGACCTTCCAGGACACGGCCGCAGAGCCCAGGGGAAGGCGTCGCTGCTCTAAGAATGCTCGGAATTTTCGACAGAGCGGATGTTACTCATACGATTGAGCAGAAACTGTTTCGATTCCTGCCTTGGTGAAGGCCGTCGTCTCTTCTTCCTTTTTAATGCTGCAAGCCGTTGGCTATCATATGAAGACTGCGGAAGCTAGAGAAAAATGCCTCTGGCGCGCGCTCCTGTGGCCCACGCGTCGGCAACTGAAAATGACACCAGCACTGAAAATTATGCGCGCCTGCTCTGCGCAAAGAAAACCAAACGATCATGAATCGTGAATTCAAAAGCGGGCGCTAAGCACGGGGTCTTGATCTAGACGCAGAGCACGCTCACTGCAACTGCCGCACCAACGGCTGATGCCATAGGTGCGTTGCTTGTCATATCATCGACCGTCGTGTCGACCTCGGTGCATGATGGCACTGTGCTCCACATGATCGCCGAGTCGTTGTCATCCATATCGGGCGGATGGCCATTGTTGACGCAAAGCCCCGCTGTTGGGATGAAGGTGTCGCTTGGCGTGGCAGTCTTGTAGCACACTATGCTCGTGCTCGATACATCGCATTCCATGCCGCTGTCCGGTACAACTGTGCAATCGAAATCGCTGTCGGGTGAACCGGCAGCTCCCGCAATGGTGCTGCCTTCCTCGCACGTGAAGCCAAGGCCAGGCGGCACGTCCATGCTCCAACCCCACGCTGCCCGACTCTGCGGCGCCTCCAGGGCCAAATGCGCGAGCTGGAAGCTAACGGCACCGAGGACTGCGCTGCCAACGCGATACATGGCGTGACAGAAACGCAAGACGCGATAGCGAGTCCCAGGAAAGCAATGAGCTGGCTAGCTGCTAATGCGGCTTGGGCAAGAAACCCTTGAGCCAAAATGGCTACGGAGGTGAAGGCCGTCGCCTCTTGATCATTGCGCAAGGGCACTTCAGAGCCAGAGAAGATCACGGCAGCAAAGCCGATGTGTTCCAAACCTAGATTTGGGAGAAGGGGCGGCGTTCATGCTGACGCTTCCCTGGCGCAGGGCCGTAACCTTCGCATCGGAGCCTCAAGAGTAAGCAAAAAAACACCGCTTGCCAGACTGCCCTGCAATGTCTCCTGCCAACCCACTCTGATCGGTCACAGTATGAGGCCGACCCCATAGAAGAAGACAGAACGCCATAAACTTAAACATTTAGCGCTCCGCACTGATTTCTTGGATTTGCGCTGGACCCCCCTAAGCGCCCGGGGGCGGCGCCAGAGGCGCCGCCGGGAGGGCACCAGCGCGGATCCAAGAAGTCCGCACCGAGCGCCAAAAGTTTATGTTTATTCGGGTCGGGCGCAAGGGGGGGATAGCAAAGGGGGGGGTTGAGAATCATCTCACGTGGCTGATTTTCCCGGCGCCTCCCGGCGCCGGGAGGCGCCCATGTATCGAGGAATGGGCCCCTCGGTGGGGCCGAAACCAGCTGCATGCAGCAAATTTCGTAACCCCCCCTCTCCCAGTCCCCCCCTTTCGTCCGGCCCGATCTTCGATGCCAACCCAATCTGATCGGTCACAACATGTGGCCGATTATCGGGCGGGTGGCCCTGGGGGTGACCTAAATGGGGGGCGAAGAGAAGAGGCCCAGGGCCCCTTTGGTGCTCCTGCCGGCTCCAAGAGGGGCTCTAAAAGGCCCCCTTCAGGCCCTTTGCTTCAACCCTCCACTTGGGTCACGCTCTCCTGACTGGAGCCCTGGAAATGAGCATCAGCACCAACACAGGAGGTTGCCTCCACAGGAGGAAGATGATCCTAGATTTCGGTGTTGGTGGTAATATTTCGGCCACCTTGGAAGCCATAATATCACCACCATTACCGAGATCGGAATCTTCTTCCCTCGGAGGAGGCACACCGCCGATATTGGTGTTGGTGTCAACCTCTAAGCCTGTCACCTTACCGCCCGCCAGAAATCCCAGACACCCGGAACCACCGCCTGCCGCCGGCTTCCGCCAGCGGACCGTTCGCCGTTCTACCACCGCCGGCTCCCGCCGATGGGCGAGAGTTGCGCGCTCCGAAGGCGGCCCCCCCCACCCCCTCTCTGGAGCGCCCCGCGTGTGCAGAGTAAGGCCTCGCCGCGCAGGGGACAGACCTGTTGGATGCTGATTCTGTTGAGGAGTGAAAAAAACGCTCCTACCCTGGGTTACAAGTGCGTGGTCAGTGATCCTCCTGGGAGCTCCCACAGGCCAGAGAGCCGCCAGGACGCCGCGCGGCACGCGCGATACGCAGGGTTTACCCTGTCAGCCCACAGGAGGTTCAGCGCACAGCGCCTCATTAACCAGGGCGGGGGCGTTTTTACATCCTTGCTTCTGGGGACCTTCTTGGAGACACGCGCTCCATTCGTGCATCGAAGCTTCGTCGAACGTCAGTCGATGTGGAGTCGACCCTGAGTCGACGCTGAGTCGAACCTGAGAGTCGCACACGAGTCGAACTCGAACCGAACCTCCGAGACGAACTGGGGTCGACCTGGAGTTGAGCAGATCCCACAGGTCGGGCCAAGGAAGCCTCTGCCCCTCGCAGGATGCAACGGCCTGACGAGGAGGACGAGGAGGAGGCTGAGGAGGACGAGAGAGGAGGAGGAGGAGGAGGAGGAGGAGGAGGAGGAGGAAGAGGAGGAGGAGGAACAGGAGGAGGAGGAGGAGGAGGAGGTCCCTGCGCGCCGAGGTCCATGAAGCCACTTGACAGCAGCGCCGGCGCAACGGGCGCCAGCAGCTCCAGGCCGATCCTGTCCTGCGCGTGCCCAGGCGGGAGGAGGCTTCGAGCACGAGCCAGGAGAGCCCCGGAGGCCGATGCCCCTCCTTTCCGCCCCCCCTCCACGACCTACGGACGTATCCGCGTGCACACCCTCGCGGTCTGGACACCCAGGGGCGATCCCGTGGAGATATGATCCCACAGGTACCCCCCCGAGCGGGGCACACGGGGGCCGCCGCTGAGGAGTGGGCTGCGAGGCCGCGAGCACGAGTTCCGCCCACGGCGTCCTGCACCCGCTCCCGCTCGCGCCCCCCTCTCCACCCCATCCCCTGTGCAATCCTGGAGGATCGGCGGTGGACAAACCTCCCTTTCGTAGACCTCCCCTCAGTGAAAGCGGCCTGGCACCGAAACCGACGAACCCGGACCCGCAGAAATGACGCCCGCGCCGCCTTCTCGCGAACCGAAAACGGCCAATTCCTCCATCGACGTGTCAGGCTAGGAGGTCTGCCCAACCCCGAGAGGACAGGGCTCCTGGCCGAGCCTCCGTCTGCGTTGCCCGACTGGCACGAGATTCGGCCGCAACACGCGCTGCCTTTCAGACACTTGAGACACATGCTCGGCCTGCCGCGCACAGCACCACAGTGCGCTCACAGTGGCCACTCCGCTGCAGAGGGCAGCCAACTGGCCACATCTCGGCGAAGCCCTCCTGTTTGGACCGCGGAGGCGTCCGCAGAAGGGGACCTAGCTTAAGTGAGGAAACTGCAGTCCGAGGGCCCCAGCAAGGCAACACAGGATCTCAACAGGTCAGAGACTGGGGCCCTCTTAGCGGCAGGGGGGCCAGACAGCAAGACAGGCCAGGCCAGAAGACGCAAGGGAAGCACAAGTGAACGCAGCTGAGCCCCCAGGGTTGACCAAGCTGTTCGCTTGCCCAGAGAACGTTTTCAGCTATTTTGCTGGGGGGGGAGGGGTGGCCCGTAGTCGGTCCCAGAGTGCATCGTACTATCTAGCGGGGGAGGGCACCAGTGCCGGTGGAGCGCGCTAGCATCTCATCTTCCTCACGCGCCTATGCCATCAGCCCGTTTTTCATCCTTCGCTTCTTGCCCCCAGTCCCTGACGAGCCGCATTGCCACACCAGGCACCGCAGCACCGATACCGAAGCAGCCGCCTCGTGGACGCGTTGTGACTAGATCCCCGCTGTGGTGCAGCGATCTCTTAGGCAGCCATCTGCTACCTAATTTCCATGTATCACCTCGAAGGCGCCCCCATACCTATTTGCTGCTGACACCTCTCAACAACTAACACGTGCGTCTAGTTACGTCTCGCAGCCGTGCTCCAACAAACTACCAGAGAAACACATTGCCACATCCTGACGTGGGCATGCTCAACGACTGGCCCGCGCCAGGAGCAATCGCTTTTGCCTGGGCAACCTGCAGACGTCTGCAGATGCGTGCGACTTGTGCGAGCCCTCTCGAGCAAAGGAAGAATCCGTGCATCCCGCGACACCATGACGATCCAGAACGGCCGACGTCAACACGAGCGCGCCCGCCGAAGCCGCTGCCTGGCGAACTGCCCCCACCCACCCACACCTCCGATCCACACCGCCGTGCTCCTCCTCGGCTCCCTCCTCGCCCCTCCCCTCGAGCCGCCCCGTGGCGGGCGCGCCGCCAAGCTCTGCGGACGCCGAGCTCGGCGCCGCAGGGCAGGCGCAGCTCGGGGCGGTCTTGGGCAGCGTGCGCCCCCGAGCCCCCGAAAGTTTCATAATTCTGTGTTCACTATCAAGGTTCTTGCGTGCAGCAAGAATATAAACAGACGTTGCTCCCCCCCCGCCCCCCCCGGGGCCTGCCCGACCCGCCCCCCTCCTCATCCCGCCCTCCCCCGCTGGGGAAGGCAAAAGGTACCGATGCCGCTACTCCCAGCCAAGCACCCCTCCCGGGGGCGGGCGCTCTGACCAGCACTTCGGGGCGCATCCGGCCGTGGCGGCGGGGGCCGCCCGCGAGCCCCCGAACGGGTGAGAACGAGGGAGGGAGGGGTAGCAGCATCGATGCCTCCTCCTCGTCCTCCTCCTCCTCCTCCTCCTTCTCCTCCTATCCTCCTCCGCCTCCTCCTCCTCCTCCTCCTATCCTCCTCCTCCTCCTCCTCCTCCTCCTCCTCCTCCTTCTCCCCCTCCTCCTCCTCCTCCTCCTCCTCCTCCTCCTCCTCCTCCTCCTCGGTATCCTTACTTCTCTGACCCTCTCCTCCTCCGCCTCTTCCCGCGCTGGTGCCATCCCCGCCAGCGTCGCCGTCGCTGCCACGAGAGCCCCACGAACAAAACTCCCTGCCGGCCCGGTGCGCGGTCCTGCACCGGTGGCGGCGCCGGCCACGACACCTCGGCGGCGCGGGGGCAGGATCGGACTGGGATACATCGGTGGCCTCTGAGGATGTCCGGGGCTGGAGAGGGCCTCCCTTGAGCAGGGCAGGGTGTAGTGAAAGCGACCTCGGGCCCAAACCTGGTGGGCGCAAGCCTGGGAAAATGACGGCCGCGGCGCCCTCGCGGGCACCGAAAACGGATTGTCCACGAGTCGACGCGTCGGGGTGGGGGTGCTGCCCACCCCCGAGAGGCATCGGGCGCCACGGCCGTTGCAGGGCGCTCGGGGACGCTCCGAGATCGTTCTGGAAGGCTCTCGAACGATCTGTCTTGGTGCTGGGCGAGCACCAGGCGGGAGAGGAGGAGCAGGAGGAGGAGCAGGAGGAGCAGGAGGAGGAGGAGGAGCAGGAGGAGGAGGAGGAGAAGGAGGAGGAGGAGGAGGAGGAGGAGGGGAGCGAGCACCAGGAGGGACGCGCCTCAAGAGGCCGCACGGGCCAATCGACGTCCGTGCTGCCTGCCCGTGCGTCGCGGGCCGCGTCGCTGTGCAAAAAAAGTTGGCACACGAGCGGCTCAAGCTGTTTGTTGCACAGAGGCGGGCCCTACGGGCTCGCACCGGGCGCCTGAACCACGATGCGGTTCGTCTCCTTGTTAGCACAGCTGCCCCGCTGATAGAATTGTATGGGGGAGGCCAGGATACTCTGCCCAAATCGGCCTTTCACATCAGAGGAACGCTCCAGGCTCGTCGCTTCAATCCGCCCAGCGCAAAGAGTGGGCGAGGAGGGCGAGGAGCTCAATGCTTCCACTGGTGCCAGCCTGGAGTGCAGTCAGACCTAGGCCAGAAGAGCATCCCAAAAAAGCACGAGACCCTCCGCCGGCAAAACTGAGGAGCCTCCGAGGGCACCCTCCCCCATGATGCACAAGAACATCCAACAAACTGTTTTTGAGTCGCGGGTCGAGAGCGCACCTCTTCCATTCGAAGCTAAGCGGGCCGCGCACAGCTTGAATTAACAAAGAGGGGGGTGTAGAAGGAGGGGCCTCACGTCAAGGCCAGGAGCGGGCAAAGCCCCGGAATCGGGCGGTGCCGAAGACGATGTGCTTGCAGAGGAACGCCTTGGACAGGAACCCTGCGGCGATGTACCGGAAGAAGCACATCCAACAGACACGAAGAACACGAGGCCACCCTCCCCGAGCCGACTTGATCCACGTACCTGACTACCTACCAAACCACCCCAACCCAACCCGAAGACCCGAATTTCGGGTTGGGGGGGGTATGGGCTCCATATGTGTTTTTTCAATGTTTCCCGACCCCCCCCCACTGGAAATCAAGGGTAAATCTGAGCCTTCGGGTTGGGTTGGGGTGGTTTGGTGGGTGGTGAGTACCACGGTCCGCCTGCACTGGAGCACTCGCCGCCGGAGGCGGGCGGAAGCGCGGCGCGCCGGCCAGCCAGGGCAGGAGGAGAGGAGGGCCTCGGCCTCTCGGCTGCCCCTCTGCCCGCAGGGGCCGCCGCGGCACGGGAAGAGCGGAGGGGGCGAGGAGCAGGACCAGGATGCACCCTAGGGCAAACCTGCGCTGCTCACGCCTGGGCACATGTCGGGGTGCTCATCGCCCGCTTGGTCGCGGAGCGACGCGGCACCACGCCGCACACTGCTGGGAGAGGGGGCCACGGTCAGGTTCAACATACTCGCCATGGCGTTGGCCCCGTTGAAGCGTCTTGCGCCCTCGACGGCACGGGGGAGGAGGAGGAGGAGGAGGAGGAGGAGGAGGAGGAGGAAAAGGAGGAGGAGGATAGGAGGAGGATAGGAGGAGGATAGGAGGAGGAGGAGAGGAGGAGGAGGAAGAGGAGGAGGAGGATAGGGAGGAGGAGGAGGAGGAGGGGAGGAGGAGGAGGAGGAGGAGGGAGGAGGAGGAGGAGGAGGAGGAGGAGGTCTGTTGATACGCTGTGTTGCGCTCGTGCCATGTACGGGGGGATCCTGAAGATGCAGGAGGATCTTCAAGACCGCGGACCACGGCAGACAGAGTTCCAGAGGTAATCCTCACGGGAGGGCTCCTCACGCTGGTCGCATGTGAGCATACAACGTCAAGGAATACAGCTCAAACATATTGCGCAAGTGGCTCCAAGGGGGTGCTAGATTGCATAACTTGCCCGCCAAGACCTCCCAAGCTGGCCCCAGCGGGATACAGAGTGCATCCAGGATGACCCCAAGAAGATTCCATAGGGCCCCAGGATGTCGCCTTCAGGGGTCCCAAGAGAGGCCTAAGAGGACACTGAACTACTGGCCCCAAGAGAGCAGCAACACATCCGAAAGAGAGTCCCTAGACCCTAGAGGCCAACGTACCAAAATTGCCCAGACGCCTCCACGGGCACAGCTGAGATTGTATGACTAGGGGCACTGCGCGCTCATACAAGCAAACGCGGGTCACTACTGCGAGCGGCTGTATTCCAGCGCAGCACCCTTTCAATCGTCAGGCCGAACCTCTACACTTTGACTCCACTGCAACCCGCTTTGTCTACAGCTGGCAACAGCGTCCTTGAAAATTCTGTTGCCCAGGCACAGCGGGTTCTACCTCTCCTCTGTTTCTCTGTGGGAGGGTTCGGGAGTACTGGATATGGTTGTGGACTTGCCGTGCGCACTGCATTGTCATCGCTCCCATTTGCAATCTCTGCAATGATAACAAGCTGCCGTTACAAGAAAAGAACTACGAACTACGTACTCAGTTTTGTGCAACCCGCCTGCTCGCGAACAACTGCGTTGGTGATGCGGCTGAAATGCGAGCGCGGGATTCGAAAAAACTTCCAGACGTAACGGCCCTGGAATCGTCCGACCGAGCCCATCCTGGACTCTTCAACCAGGCAGCGTGTAGACTGTACAACAGTTTGCTCAGCACGCACGCTTCAAAGACGCGGAACCTACGAGACACAGAAACTGAAGCGTGTGACACGCGCGCGCGCCAGTGCGTGACATTCCGCCCTGGCCGCGATGGGGCGATTCCTCCTCCCCCGACTACACGCAAGGGTAACCCTAGGCAAGAGTGACCTTTAGTGCACGGCTCCGGGGACTGCAGGTAGGCCTAATTCGAGCGCGCAGGGTAGTGTTGGGGGGGGGGCCCTATCTGGACGCCCGAGTTGTCCGGGATAACTGCGGTCCGGGGTAACTCCGGTCTGGGCCCCCGAGTCGCGAACATGCCGTTACCCCCGACTGCCACCAGCCCTGATGATTCGGGAGGGTTGGACCCCCGAGTCATCCGGGATGACTGCGGCAGCATCGGCTGGGGCCCCCGAGGCGCGAACCTGCAGTTACCCCCGACCGCCCCCAGCCCTGATGACTCGGGGCTCTGACCTGTGAGCCCGCACCGGAGGTCACTCGGGCGAAGGGCCCCTCGTGCGCAGAGCCAGCTCACCCCCGGGCCCAGGACCGGCCTGGCCAGGATCGGTGCCAGCGGACGGCAGACGCCGCTCGCACCTCCTCCGCCGCCCGCCACCGGCCTCGGTCCGTCGTCGGCCGCCGATCATCGGCCGTCTGCCGCCGTCGGTCGTCGCCGCCGCCGCCGCCGTCTTGGCTGAAGTCGTCGTCGCCGTCGCCGTCGCCGTCGCCGTCTTGGCTCAAGTCGTCGTCATCGCCCGCGTCGCCGTCGCCCGCGTCGGCGGATCTGCTTGTCTGCGGCGCTCTTCGGAGGAGCAAGACAACCACGGTGCAGGCGCTGTTTCTCGGAGGTGCGCGCAGACATCTTGGATCGGCGCTGGACCCCCCTCCCTGGCGCGTGGAGAGCGCGCCGGAGCGGCGCCGCGAAGGGAACCCAGCGCGGATTCAAGAAACCCGCGCGGACCTCCGAGAAATTACAAGCTCATGCTGCTCTCGTTGTGTTCCGGGTCGGCGCTCGGCGCCGGTCGCCGCTCGTCGGCCGTCCTCGGTCGTCGTTCGCCGTCGATCGTGGACCGGCTGGCGACGCGGGCACCTCCTCCGTCGTCCGCCGTTGGTCGTCGGTCGCTGGTCTCGGCTACACGCAAGAGTGGCCCTGGGCAAGGGTGACCTCTGGTGCGCGGCTCAGCCCGGGGCGCCGGGGGGGGGTGAAGGCCCAAGCGCGCCAGCCGATGCTGTCGCGTCGCGCTCGGCGGTCGGAGGACCCCACTGGGCCCGCACCAAAGGTCACTCTGGCGAAGGGTCACTCCTACGTGCAGTCGATGGTCGTCGGCCGCCGCTCTTCCCTGAGATCCGACGCAGCGAAAAAACTGCATCCTCGGTTTTTATATAAAAAAGCACGCACGGAGCCCTAGACCACATCTTCCCGTGTCCTTTCTCGAGCCAAATCGATCTGTGAGGGTCCCTTTGGACGCCCGAAATGGGTACAATGGGTACAATGCCCCACAACAAGTGTTGTCCCAAACCAACAGCGGCCGCTGTTGGGCAGGCGGCTTGCTGTCTCGAGTGGACACAGGCCGCGGCGGCGTGGACAGCGAATCCTGCTCAAAATGAACGGGAACTGCTGTTGGGCATTGTACCCCTTCTCTTGGTACCCATCTCGGGCGCCCAGAGTCCCGGGGCCCGGCCTGGATCGAACACGCCCGGCTCGAAAACAAGGGGTCGCCAGGACCTCAGGGCTCGTTCGTCGGCCGTCCTCGGTGGTCGCTCGCCGCCGGTCGCCGACGATCGGCCGCCGCGCCTGCCGCGACGGGGCCGCCGCAGCCGCCCCCGCGGCGTCGAGCGCGTCGCCGCAGGCCTCCGCCGCACCCCTCGCGGCGGCCTCCGCGCGCCGGCGAAGGCGCCGCGGGCGCTGAGCGCTCCGCCCGCCCCCCCCCTCACCCCACCCACCTCCTCCCTGCGTTCCTCCTCCTCCTCCTCCTCCTCCTCCTCCTCCTCCTCCTCCTCCTCCTCGCGTTCCTCCTCCTCCTCCTCCTCCTCCTCCTCGCGTTCCTCCTCCTCCTCCTCCTGCTCCTCCTCCTCCTCCTCCTCCTCGTTCTCCTCCTCATCTCACACTTCTGCTCTGCTCCCACATCCGACGACGACGGCGACTGACGAGGACGACGACGACGACGACGACAACGACGAACCCACCAACAAGTCCCTCCCCGATGGGAACAGCGACGGACACCGACGGCCGACGACGACGACGATGACGACGACCGCTGCAAATGACGACGACGACGACCGCGACGACCGCGACGACCGACGACGACGACGACGACGACGACGACGACGACCGACGACGACCACGTCGAAGCGCCAGCGGAAGAGGCGCGGCGCGCTGGCGCTGGCGCCTCCTGGTCCGCCCGGCGCATGCCGGCCACCAGCAGCTCGGCGAGCTGGCAGCATAGGGAGGGGGGGGTACCGCCGCCGCGGCGGCGGCCGCCGCCGCCGCCGCCCGCGAGAGCCCTCGGATGATCGTTGGCGCGATGGTCATATTGTTTTTTTTGTTCCCCCCCAGCGGACTATTTTGGGAGAAGAAGGAGGAGGACGAGGAAGGGGACGACCGCGACGCACCACATGTACTCTCCACACCGCCTGCCAGGATCGTTGGCGCGATGGTCATATGAGTACGGAGTCAGCTGCGCGTAAGAGCTCACAGGAGGAAGAGTAACCGATACCGCCACCCTTCCCTCGTCTTAGTCTCTCTGGACCTGCTGGGAAAGCCTCGTCGCGACGGCTGGACTCGTCTCGACATTCGAGCCACAACCATGGAGGGATGCAGATTAAGAACACACGGTCTAAAATTCAGGTATATTGGTTGATGTGTTTATTGCGCCAGCTTCTGCGTGGAATCAGTGCTGCTCTGCATCGACCTTCACTTGCTGGCGTAGTCCAGGTATGCCAGTTCTCGTTGTCAGAAGGCGCAGTTTACACAAGCATTGCCCAGGAAATGCGCAATCACTTTTGCTCGGTAATCGAAGGCCTTCGGCGGCCCTCGGAGGCACCCAGAGCCCGTGCGGCCGCCGCCGCCGTCGCCGTCGCGCCGTCGTTCAGGATCGAGGCTCGAGGCTCGAGGACGCACTTCTGGGCCATTTCAGAATGCCTCCTCAAAATAGGGGGGGAAGCTGGGGAAGCAAAGACACACCCACACCGCCACTCCGTGGACCTCTCCCAGATCGCGTCTTGACCAAGATTTCGAAGAGAGTCCAGCCGAGGCGACGAGATGAGGGTAGCGGTACCAGAATATTTGACGCGGCCAGAGAGTCTCAACTGGTTGGAACTCTGGGAAATCGGTCAGGAGAGGGTGTAAGCCAAATCCGCTCAAAATAGGTGCAGGACGAGGACAACATCGGGTGATGATAAATCGGAAATCTCTAAGTACTGGCTGTTCTGAGGAACGTCTCGAGCGCCGCGGCCTTCTCAAAGCGGTGCAGAACGCTCTGAAAGCGCTCCAGAACGCCCTGAAGCGGATTTATCCTCACCTCAGCCCCGCCTGACCCCGGCCCCGAGCGCCCCAAGGGCAGAAACTGCATCATCTCCAGGGCCCGCCGTCGCCACGAAGCCGTGGAGGCTCCCGGAGGCCCCCGGAGGCCTCTGGAGGCCGCCGGACGCATCTGGAAGCCCCCGGAGGCCCCTCGAGGGCCCCGGAGGCCCCCCGAATGCGCCCTCTTGAGGCCTTCGAGGGCCCCCAGAGGGCCGTCGAAGGCCTCCTCGAAAAGGCCCCAGGCATCGCCGGGGCGGGGCGCGAGACCCCCTGCTGCACCCCTGCTGCCCCTTGCGGATAAGAAGGCAACTCGCGGGAGTTCGTGGCTGCCATCATGGTGTCCCACGGCGAGCCCAGTCGCGCTCAAGGCGAACATACTGCATCTCCCGCACGTGGCGCTGTTGGACGCTAGTGGTCGCTACTGGGCGTGACTGGGCGCTATCTGAAGGCTATTCGGCGCTGCTGGGCGCTAGTTGGAGCTGTTGGGATCTTGTCGCCGATACTACGAATTCGACCCAAGACGGGCGGAGACTTCCGTGATTTACTGCCTAATTTGAGCAGGGACCGACCCTCCTGGCATTCGTGTAGGCCTTCCACGAAGTGTTCTTAAAACCTAAACGTGTTCTAAGAACCATAACACTGCTCTTATAACGTAAGCCCGATGTGTTAGAAGAAGACAGCCTCAAGAAGACAGCCTCAACCAGAAATGTGCTAAGAACATTTCGTGCAGACCACAAAACAATGATTTGAACATTCTTTGGTGGGCCTACAGGCGAGCCAAAACGCTTTGCCACTGCTTGACTCATGGCTGCTCGTCCTGCTTGATGCGGGCCCGCGCCGGCCTCCTCGGGCGGCTCCAGCTCCTCGACGCCCCAGCCGGGGTCGGGGGGCGCCGCCTCCCGGAGGACAGGATAGGAAGCAACTTCTGCGGCAACTCACGGGGGCCGCCCATGCCATCCTTTGGCTCCTGCGAACCGACGCGAACTCACGCGAGTCGACGCTGCTCGGCGCTGACAAACGCTAAATCGACGCCCATCGACGCAACAGCAGCGCCTTCTCGTCGACTGCCAAACGCCAGCGCCCATCAGCGCACTCTAGACAATGAATTCCGAAAACATTCAAGGCCCCCGTAGCCTGCTACCAACAGCAACTCCTGGGAGGTCTTGATCAGAGCGACTACGGGCGACCAAGCCCGATTCAGGGGACATCAGAAGCCAAGTCGCGCCAAATGAAGCCCGGAAACAAGGCGGTGCTCGACCCCCCATGCACCAAAGCTGATGCTGAATTTCCTCGCCGGTCAGAAAAAATGGGTAGAAACATGAAGTACGGAGGCGCTGAAGTAGCCTGGGCTTCCGTCCGCCCCCTGAGGACGAGGGAGGAGGGACAACCCTCGACCCGTGAACTAGGAAGGCGCCTGAAATGTACTGGGATCTTGGAATTCAGAGACCCCTACTTTCAACGACCAGCGGACAACCTCGCAGGAGTTGCATCCCGACGGGGGCGAAGGGCGGTCGCCGCTGCGCCTCGGCCTCTCCCGCGCGCCCACCGGGGTCTCTGGCGTTACACGAGCGGCGACCAGAAGCGGGCCTTACGCGAGGTGGCATGGCGATACGCGGCGGCTTACATTCGGACCTAGAACAGACAAGCCTCCCTCAAGAACACCCTCCGCCGGCCAAAACACTTTTTCCCGTCAGCGGCGAGAAGGCGAACTCCGCTCCAGCGAGAAGCTAGACAGGGGCACAAACTGGCGAATTGGCCGGCGGGCAAAGAGGGGGGGGGGGGGGGGGCACGGCCGAGAGGAAGAGGGGACGCTCAGACGTCGAGGAGTTCGACGATGAGCAGCCGTTGGGGAGCAGCAGCAGCCACGCGCGCAGTGCCAGAGCGCGGTGGGCGGCCGTGGCAAACCACGGTGGCAAGGGTGCCGGGAGGGCGGTTACCACCAGCTGGAGCTGGCGGGCGGGCGCAGTGGGACACCACGAACGGCAGAGGTGCCGCGGCGCGCCGAGGAGTAAGCACAGCACTGAGCCGTGCGGAGGCAGCCCCGCCGGCCAAAACACAAAGGACATCGTAGGGCCACCTGCCCAGGATGCACCAGAACATCCAACACACACACACACACACGGATCACAGTAAGGTACCCTCCCGAGCGCGGCGGCTTACGCGGGCCGTTGGCGCGGCACGCTGTGTTGGCAACGAGGGCGACCACGCGCGACCTTACGCCCGCAGCCAACGCGTCGACATCGGCGAAGACGATCCCGACGTTGTTTTGCGCCGCTCGTGGTTCTCCGGCCCCAACGGTGCTTCCGGGGCCTCGGTCTCTGAGGCCCGCCGACGCGCCCTGGGCCAATCGAGAACGGCTCCGGGTCGAGAAGCTGCCCCCGGGGAAGCCGCCGGGGCATCGGACTGGAACAGACACATCGGCGGAGGTCGGGGTCCTCCCCCCTGCGCCCTGCGGTCGGCATTCACGTTGCGATGGCCCCGGCAAGAAACAACACGGGCTGAAGAGCCTGCCCCCTGGGAAGGGGACGAGGCCTCTTGGGGTGCACGCTGTGCAGAAAAACCATACGTCGAGGTTAGGAGGCTATTTCGGCTAGGTCTTCGTAAGAACGATGGAAGGCTGCTAAGCTCGATTCATGGGGCCATCACTGGTTCAGCCGAGATGAATCCAAGAACTGGTGCCGACCAAGCGAGACTGAACCAGATTGAGCGGGATCGATCCAGATCAAGGCGGTGTTCGGCCACGGATAGACCAGCGCAGGGGCCGAACTTAACATCCCAGGAGCTGTGCCCTGACCTCTAGGGATGCACGCTGCGAAAAAAACACGGCGCCGGCGGTTCTGGGAAAGCGGAACGCCCCAGAACCCAAGACCCAGAGATCCTGACAAGTGTGGTGGCAAGTGCTGAACATGCAATGAAAATGCTGTGGGGGGGCTGTGGGTAAGGAAACACTGGAGAAGGGATCCAGGGTCTGGAAGCCACGAGAACTCCAATCGTGGATTGGCCGTGGATATCAATGCCGCCCTCGTCAGATACGGAACCATCCAGGGTCTGAAGCCTCCCGCGCACATGTCTTAACCAACGCCCCCGCCACATCCGACGCGCAGCCGCAGCCAGGACAAGCCTTTCTCAACCATGCACCCAAAATGCCCGAACACGTCTTCTCAGCGGCGGCAGGGCAGACGCCAGAAGGTTCGTGTCAAGGCGACTGCGGCGCTGGTTTCTGACACAGCGTGGATCGTCCAACCTTGAGCGATCCTTAGACCCTGGCGTTGCAATTTTTCACCACGGGCGATTCTGCCTTGTGTCAGGCCCCAGGACCATCATGGATCGATCCAGCTCTAAGAATGCAACAAGAAGATTGGATCTAGGGCTGTAGTCTTGATTGGGGCGATGCCGGAAATGTTTCGCGACGTCGGATCCGAGGGGATCGGAACTTTCCGATAGCGAAGACTGATTGATACTAGCAGGTCTGGGGCCAGCTGCTCAGAGACCCCAAGAATGCTCATCGAGCCCGAGGTGCGACGGAACAGGATCTCACCGCTTCGATATGGATTCGTCTCCTCCTCCCTAGCGAAACTCAAATCTCATGTTGGACCTTTGTTTTCAACCACAAGAAACTGATAATTCCGTATCTGGGGAACGATTCTGGGAGATATTTTTCTCATCCTTCTCACTCCTCCATGCTCCTCATGCTTAATCCTGTTTAAGAAGGCCCTCTCCGCTCTTCACCTCGGAGGCCGGCGCAGCAAACCAGACAATCTGGCGTGCCACCCCTGTCAAAGAGCGTAGGTTGTCAGGAAGAGGAGGCTGAGGAGTTGGAGGAGGGTTTCGAGAGAGGAAGAGGGGCGCAGTGAATCCAGAACTGCACAGCCTCCTTCAAACGCCAGGCATACACTGATTACCAGCGGGTCCGCATCCCCCCGCCCCCCGGCGAGAACAATGCCGGGACTTCGCGGAGGCCCCCGGCGCACCGCATCGCCGACGCATCAGCGATGCGGCTCGGTGGGGAGCCCAATGTTGTCCCAAAGACCTGAAGCTCCGACAGAGGTGGGGCGGCCGGTGTTGGGCCGTGTTCGGCCTCGGGGGGCCCTCGCCAGGCCTCGGGACCGTCAAACATGTTTGAAGGGGCCCCAGGACACACAAATGTATACACACAAATAAGAGCACTCCCCATACGTTCCTATATGTTTCGGGTTCTCGTCATCCCCCCCACTTCCCGACGATGAATTGCGTCTGTGTGTTTTTTCTCTCCCGCAAAAACTTTTCAGGACGATGAGCTGGCCATGGCTCGGCGGCGAGCACGGGGGAAGCGAGGAGGGGCGGGCCTTCGAAGGCTAGGAAGAGCCCCCTGGCCTTCCGAGGAGTTTTCTAATGAAGGGGCCTTGGGACACATAGATAAATACACACCAATAAAAGGATTCCCCACATTTTATCATAGTTTCTGGGTTTTCGTCTTCCCCCCCACTTCCCATAGTTGCCCATACGTTCCTGGGGATCGACGATTGATTGTGTCTGTGCGCTTGTTCCCCTCCTGTTCTCAGGCTTCCCTGAAGAAGCGGGCAACTTCTCAGGAGGCCAGCGCGCTTCTGAGGAGCCCCGCCGCCTCCTGACGAGGCCTTCTCCTTCTTACTTCCCTTTGGTCGGGCATGTCCCCCTACAGGCAAATCTTGGAAGACAAATTAAAAATAGTCGGAACAAATATCCAAATATATTCAAAGTAAACACAACATCGTCAACATATTGGACTAGTTTTGAATATTCCTCCTGTAGAGGGACAGGCCCGACTTAACACTTCCCCCCCATCGCTCGCCGCCGACGTGGGGAAGCGGTCCAGACATCCAGGGCCCACGCGTCGAAAGGACTGGAGCGGCCAGATGGATGTCGAACAAAAACACGAACACACACGTCGTTTATTTCTAATCGTGCTCATTTTTTTTGCCGTGGCAATGCTTCGCGGCGCAACGGCTGCACGCGAGCTGTAGCGGCAGGCAGCCACTAGGCCACCCCGAAAAAAGCAGCGCACCTCCTCGAAGATGCGCGCGCCGTCCTTGGCGCCGACGCTGGCGCCCACCACCTCGGACTCCAACTTCATGCCAACGCCCTCGACTCCTTGACCGCCACCTCGAGGCTGCTCCAGATGCATCTCCTGCAGCATCGAAACGCACTCGCACGGCTCGAAGAGCTTCACGATCGCCCCGCGCCACGCGTCGACATCGTCCTGCGGAGCTGCCACCTCCAAAGCCTCCTTCGCTTCGCGGTCTGCTGGTGGCCGCCCCTCTCGGCCAGCCGCCAGCCTGCTGCCAAACCGTGCGCGAAGGCCCTTGCCTCCGCTCGCTGGTCGGCCTCCTGCCAAACGCCTGGCGCCAACCCACCTCCGCCGTTGAGCACGGTGCCCTCCGACGCCATGTGGTTGACGCTCTGTGAGTCGTCGTCGCCGTCCGACTCGTCCTCGCTGCCGACCTCCGTGCCAGCAAACTTGCCCACTCCGTCGCCGTGCTCCGACGCCTCCTGGATGGGCCCATCATCGTCATCATCGTCCTCCTTCCTCCGCCCCCGCTGCCGCCAAGGGGCCCTGGAAAGAGAACATGCCAGGTTGAGCAACTTCGGCTCGAGCTCGGCGACGTGGATGCCCTTCCCCTCGACCCCGACCACTTGCTGCCCCTCCTGATGTCGGGCTCCAGCTTCGCCTCCCAGTCCACGCTGAGCGGCACCAGTGCCCGCTTCTCTTGCTCGCTCTCGCTCTCGACAGCCTCAGCGAAGCCGCGCACGTCGCAGTTCCCGTGCTCGGCCTCCTCCGCCTCGAGCTGAAAGCCCAGGCGGGGTCCCTGCGCCACCTCCGCGATCTCCTCGGCGGTCGCCCTGAGGAAGCCGCTCGGAGGGGCCCAGGCTGCGTGGATAGCCGCGTTGCGGCGCCGGCGCGATGCGCCCGCCACCCGCCGGCCCTCCACCGCGCTGACCAAGGCGGGCCTGGCCGCCCGCTCGCGGTCCTGCCATGACCCCGGCTTGCAGGGGCCCGCCACGGCATGGCACCAGGCCTCCAGCGCCCTCAAGCGCCGCCGCCTGGCCGCCCGTCTCGCCGCAGAGGGGCCCAACACCAGGTTCTCCTGCTGTCTGAGCGCCTTGGGCTGCCAGCAGGCTGGCAGCCCCCCGCAGCCGTTGCGCCCCGCCGCCCAGGCCGCCGCCCAGGCCGCCGCCATCGCAGGAGGCGCGCCGCCGCGGAGGACCCAGCTTCCCGCCTGAGCAGCGCGTCGAGCGCCGCCCCCTCGCCCGAAGCGCGGCCGCTGGAGGCTTGAGCCAAAATGGCTACGGCTAGTCGTGCTCAATTCGAATTGTGTTCGTTTCTAATTGTTCCTGGCCCCCTAGTGGCAAATAGGAGGCCCAGGATAGAACGGTGAGAAATGACAGGATCTTGGCCCCCCCAAAGAGTCACACTTGGCGCTCCGCGCGGATTGCTTGGACCTGCGCTGGACCCCCCCTCCCCGGCGTGCGGAGTGCGCCAGGGGCGGCGCGTCGAGGTGCCGCCCGGGAGCCCAGCGCGGATCCGAGAAATCCGCGCGGAGCGACAGAAGTCAACGTTTATGGCGTGCTGTCTGCTTCGATGCCTGGAAAGGGGGTGGCGCAAGGGGGGGCCGGCCCCCAAGAGGGCGGGGGGCTCCTCAGAGGGCGGGGGCCTCCTGAAGAGCTCAAGTAGGGGATCGACCCGTATCATAAGGATGCGCGGTAAGGATGCAAGTGCCATGAAGGGTCATGTGAACGTTTTTTCGAACGAGGTTGGCCAGCGATAGTCGCTAAGGATGGGCCGAAGGGGCAAGGATGCCATGGTACCCTTGGGAAGGTTGCCCATCCTTACTATGTGGGTTGACTGAACTCGAAGCCCAGACCCCCGACGTCATGATATGCTCATAATGTCGACCCTGAGAGATCTCGACCCATTCCTCGGGACCGGTGCTTCATCCTGCATCGTTTCTTGACAGACCCGAGGCCCAGCAAGGGCCCCCAGAGGCCGACAATAGCGAGAAACCTCCGGTCGGGATTCTGTCATCGCCCGAGGGGGTCCGAAGAGCTGTCCCCAGGCCCGCTCCTGGCCCATCACTTTGGACGCCCGAAATGGGTACTGAAAGAATGGGCACTATGCCCAACAACCAATGTTGTCCCGAACCAACAGCGGCCGCTGTTGGGCGGGCGGCCTCCTGTCTCGAATGGACACAAGCCGCCGCGGCGGCGCGGACAGCGAATCCTGTGCAAAATGAACAGGAACTGCTGTTGGGCATCGTACCCATTCTTTCCGTACCCATGTCGGGCGTCCAGACTGGCCCATCACCGGCACCAGGGCGGCGGCGGCCGGCTCCCGGCACCGCGGCTTCCCCCCCCCCCCCCCCCCGCGGCGCGGCCTCGGGCGCGGCGCCCGCTGCGGCGACCACTGGCCGAGGCAGGGCGCCTGGGCGGCGGAGTCGCAACGCCTCCTCCTCCTCCTCCTCCTCCTCCTCCTCCTCCTGCTCCTCCTCCTCCTCCTCCTCCTATTCCTCCTCCTATTCCTCCTCCTCCTCCTCCTCCTCCTCCTGCCTCCTGGGCCCTGAGCTTTACCCACGACGGCAAAGGATCCAGGACTATGAGATCCTGGTGACTGAACTTTTTCGAGCCGGGCGGTTTCGCCTTGTTTCGAGCCCAGGGACCCTCACAGATCGATGCGGCTGGAGAAGTGACGCAGAAGGATGGGGTCTAGGGCTCCGTGCGTGATTTCCTGCGATGTTGCATTTTCGTTCGCTACGTCGGCTCTCAGGGGTCTGCGACCACTCCTGGCCCACCTCCAGGCCTCCGCATGCGGAAGGCCTCTCAGGCGGGGGCCCGAGCAGACGGGGTCGCAGCATCGCCGATGCACGGCCGATGCATCCCCAGACATCCGGCCGCTCCAACCGATTGCTGCGGCGAGGGCCCCGCAGGTCCGGACCACTTCCCCGCGACCGGCCCTCCGCGCGGAGCCGCTGCTCGACGGTCCCGAGGCCCCTGCGAGGGCCTCCTGAAGGCCGAGCACGGCCCAGAAGCGGCCGCCCCATGCTTGGCCGGAGCGTCGGATCTCTGGCGATCAAGTCGGACTCCCCACCGAGCCGCATCGCTGATGCGTTGACCCCATGCGCTCCAGGCCCGGAGCTGGGAAGCCTCTGGGGGAGGCCTCCATAGAGAGGAGGCCCCTGAGGACCGGGACCCGGAGCGGAGCCGAGACCATCATGGGACGCACGAGGACATACTTGTACTACGCGTCTTCCTTGGAGGCGTGCGCCCGACCCGAACACATAGTACAACCATCTTGTACTATACCGCTTCCCGAGCGGTATGGCCAGAAAACGACCACCATGGAGCATATCTTATAAGATGTTTGGCGCGCGCGTCGCCCTTGGGGCAGGGGCGTTGGCACACAGAATTAGTATTCGCATGCGGCGGATTCCGGAAACCGTGAACCTCAAACTGTTGTCATCCCTTGGGGACGCACTTCCTAATTACTTCCGCCCCCCTCCGCCAGAGGCGGCCTCTTTTTAATTTACATCCGCCGCCCTCCGCCGCCGCCCGCCGAGGAAGAGATGGCAACTCTTTCGAGCCTCGACGGCGAGGCCCTTTCTGGAACGCCCCGTGCGGGGGCGACGCCGACTTTTCGCCGCGAGAGAGCGAGGCTTCAGCCACGGGACGACATCGGGTCGGGACGACATCGGGGCTCTCTCTCTGGAGAGCCGGCGGCCCTGGGAGCATGGCCCGGGCGCCGCGGGCCCGGGCCGGGGAGCGTCCCAGATCGGGGATATATTCAAACCTGGGTCCATCGGGGATAGCCAAGCCTGGAAGCTCCTTCCTGCTCTCGAGAGGAGGAGGAGGAGGAGGAGGAGGAGGAGGAGGAGGAGGAGGAGGAGGAGGAGGAGGAGGAGGAGGAGGAGGAGGAGGAGGAGGAGGAGGAGGAGGAGGGGGAGGAGGCCCTTCCAGCTCTCGGGGCCCCAGACCTCAGGGCCCCGTGAGCCCCCTAGCCGCCGTGGCCACGTGCCCGCAGAGGCACGTGCTGCCCTAGAGCAAGACGAGGGGGCACACTAGCCTACCTCCTCGCTGTTGACCACCCTCGCTGCCAAGAGACACCAGGCGATGCCAAGCTAACGGCCTGTCCTGGCCAGGCCGCTTGACGAGGAGGCGCGTGGCATGACTCGGTGTTGCCTGGAAGCGAGAGCGGGGTAGGAAATTCACGCTCTGGAAGACCCTGCGCGATCCTGCAGGATGCTGCGCCCGAGCCCGGGTCAATGCAGCCCTGGCCCTGCAGGATCCTGCAAGCTCCCGCGCTCTGACGGACCCCCCGCTCGCACTGACCCCCGTCTCCCGAGCCCCGACAGGAACGCTCTCGGAGCGTTCCGGGGAGCTCTCTGCAGAGAGCGCTCTCTGTAGAGAGCTCTCTTAGTTAAGCTCACTAAGTACAAACTAAGGTAAATTCAGTGTGAACGATGCCCAGAACTTAATAGTATGTTAAACTTGGGTTCCTGTGTCTGCCGGATGCTCAGGTCGGGGAGGCGTAAGACCCGGGTACGGGGGACTCGGGTTGGCCTGACGGGGGCCATCTCCAAAATAACGAGACCCACTCTGAAATTTGACGCGGGCTCCCGCTTGCAGACATCCCACGAAAACGGGACCGTCAGAATCCAGGACGCGTTCGTCAACAAAAAGAGTCGGCACATCTGAGTTCTGGCTTACTCGAGTCTTACGAGTCTTACACGTCGTTCATTTCTACTAGCCAGCCTTCGCCTGGCTTTTGAATCCAGGGGGCCTGGAACGTTGCACCAACACCCACAGAAAGAGGGGTGCCTCGCCCCTGGGGAGGGTGTCGCGCCTGTGTCCTCCGAATGATTATAAGGGGCAGCAAGCGGACACACGGCGGCGACGTCAGCTGGAAAGTGGACAGCGCTGCGGCGCACAGCGGAGGCGGAGGTGGATGCACTCGAGCAGGCGGGACACCCGGAGGCCGCCCGCTGGCGCGCGGCGTGCGGCAGCCCTGCGTGCGCGGCCACACCATGGCCGAGCGCTGCAAGCACGCCCGGCTGCGCGTGACCAGCTCCCGCCCAAGCTGGCCGCTCCGCGGGTCCTGCTGCCCGGGCACACGGGTGCGCGGGCGCGGCGTGGGCAGCGGGAGCCTGCCGAGCGGTGCCGCCCGAGCGCGCGGTCCTGCTGCGACCCTCGCTGCCGAGCACGTCGCGGCTGTCGAATGGCTATTCGGGCCAGAATGACTTTCGGCCCGGCGGCCGGGCGGGGCGATTCTGGCGGGCGGGCGGGGCGATTTCTTCATAGCACGATGACAGGCTCGGCGACGAAGTCGTGGAGCCACTGGGCCACCTCAAGCGCCGTGCGCACGACTCGACGACGCAATCGTGAAGCCACTGGGTCACCTCAACTGCCGTGCACACAAACGGAACTGGGGCGTCCTACGAGAGATGGCATGTCCTGCCAGAGATGCCTTATATGAATGGCCTCTCTCTGCAATAGCCCAAGACCTGGGTCGAGGTAACAAGGAGGAGTAGGAGGAGGAGGAGGAGGAGGAGGAGGAAGAGGAGAAGGAGGAAGAGGAGGAGGAAGGAGCAGGAGGAGGAGGAGGCCCCCTTTCGGCGGGCCTCCATGCGTCCGCGGCGGTGGGAGCGAGCGCCGCGTGAGGCAGCGGCGCGCGCGCCCGGTCCGCCGTCGTGGCCTCCGCCGCGAAGGCCTTCAAGGACGAGTTCTGAGGGCCAGAGGAACACGCAGCGGCATGACCATGATCTCTCCGACGTCCGCGCAGGCCGGGCCCTCCTCCCTGGCGCGCGGGGCGCACCAGGGGCGGCGCCGGAGGGGTCGCCAGGGGGGTCCCAGGCGCCAGTCCGAGAGATCCGCGCGGAGCTCTGAGAATTTATGTTCATGCCGCGTTCTTGTTCTGCGTGGGTGCAGAGCCCTGCGACGCGTATCGTTGAACCGATCCCCGTCCCCAGCGGCGTGGCCTGGACCCCACCGGCCGATTTACCCCCGTAGATGGGGATATAGGTCGTTCCCTTCGGGTCTCGAGGGGTGCATCCCCGACCGGGGGGGGGGGGTCATGCGGTGGGGCTCTCGAAGGGGATGGGCATGGGGAGGGGGGTCGGTTGAACGATACTGACGCCCTCTGCCCCCGCGTGTCCGCGGCCGCAGGGCTTCCCGAGGCAGCGGCGCTGGCCCGCGGCAGCGGCCTGCCCCTCGCGCGCGCGCGCGGGCTCGAGGCGCCGCCGCGTCGGGGGGGGGCCGCGGAGGGCGTACTTCTCGGGCGGCGGCGGGGTGGCGCAGGCGCGCGGCGCGCGTGTGCGAGCAGGCCGGGATCGGGCCCAGGCGGAGGCCGTCTGGGCTCCATCGCTGGGCGAGCCTCTGGTGGCGTTGCTGTGCAAGGGCGGGCTGGGAATCACCACCACCACCACCATCACCACCACCATGACCACCACCATCACCACCACCACCACCATCACTAGCACAACCACCATCGCCATCATCTTCATCACGACACCCACTACCATCATCATCATCATCATCATCATCATCATCATCATCATCATCATCATCATCATCATCATCATCGTCATCGTCATCATCATCATCATCATCATCATCATGATCATCATCATCATCAGCAGCAGCAGCATCATCATCAGCGCCATCGTCATCATCGTTATCATCGTTATCATCATTATCATCATCATCAGCAGCAGCATCAGCAACAGCAACAGCAACAGCATCATCATCAGCATCATCATCATCATAAGCATCATCAGCAGCCTCACAACCACGCTATCAGCGTCATCACCATCAGCATCATCATGTTCAGTGTCATCATCATCGTAATCATCACAATCATCATCGTCATCATCATAAGCATCATCATCATCCTCATCATCATCGTAAGCACCACCATCAGCAGCATCATCAGCATTCTATTCCTCCTCCTCATCATCATCATCATCAGCATCGTCAACATCTCCATCATCATCGTCATCATCATGAGCATCATCATCAACAGCATCATCAGCATGATGATTAACGTCGTCGTCGTTACCCTCATCATAAGCAGTATCCCAATTCGCGGCACGAGTGTCATCCTGAACGCTACCATCATCGCCGTCACTATCATGGCCATAAAGAGCTTACACAATCACCATCAGTATTATCACCAACGCCGCCGTCATCATCATCACCATCATCACCAGCAGCATCATCATCGTCATAAGCATCCTCATTGTCATCGTCGTCGCCAGCATCACCACCATCAACAACGCCATCACGAAGCATCATCATCATCATCATCATCATCTTCATCATCATCATTACCATAATCATCATCATGACAAGCAGAATCATCATCATCAGCAGCATTATCATCCTTATCAGAGTCAGCATCAGCATCATCATCAGCATCAACGCCATCATCATCATCATCATCATCATCAACACCGTCGGTATCATCCTAATCCGCATCTCCATCGAAAGCGTCACCGTAATCGTCATCAAAATCATCTCCACCATCAGCACCTCATCACCATCATCGGCATCGCCATTCTCACCATAACCATCACCATCGCCGTCAACATCAGCACTATCATCACCACCAGCATCATCACCAGCATGATCGGCAACCTTATCTCATCGTCATGGCGTTATCGTTATCATCATCAATTCCGTCATGGTCATCATCAACTTCACTATCATCACCATCGTCTGCACCATCCCCACCATCTTCACCATCATCCGCGTCACCATAATCGGCATCATCAGCATCATCAACATCGCCATGATCAGCATCATTGACATCACCACCATCATCCACATCACCATCGTCATCATCATCACAATCGAGAACAGCATCGTCATCAGCATCAGCATCATCATCATCAACTTCATCAACATCATCATCGTCATCATCATCAACAACATCATCATCACCGGCATCATCACCAGCACTGTCGCCATCGACATCGCCCTTCACACTGCCGCTATCATCATCCTCATTCTCATGCGATGTTAGAAAGGCGACTGGTAAAATATCGTGGGGGAATAGGCAATAGGCAATAGGCAATAGCCCGCGTCGAGGCGCCTGCGAGGGTGCGGCGGGAGGGCGCCGGGGCGCCGGAATGGGCTGGCCGCTCAGAAACTGGAGTCGGACTTTGGGAGCCGGGGTCGGGAAAGCTGGAGTCGGAGAGATGGGGTGCGAGCTGTTCCCGAATCTTCGGTTTCCGCTTCGCTTCGGCACTGTCTGGCCCTTTTGACGGCCCAGGCGCGCGCCGAGGAGGGGCGGGAGGGAACGATTAGACAACTCGTGGCCTGGCCCGGGGCCAGTTCTTCCAGTCATCATCCCACGCGCCGCCGCGTGGAATCGGCCGGGCCCACCCTGCCGACGCGTCAAGGTACGCGACAGGGAGAAGTCATCCACAAGTACAAGGGATGGAGGAGGAGGAGGAGGAGGAGGCGGAGGAGGAGGAAGAGGAGGAGGAGGAGGAGGAGGAGGATTACGCCCTCCTCCACGACCCGGCTTTCCTCCGGCGCCTGCTTCGGGGCCGCCAGCTCGGCCGGCGCCGCCGACGAGGCTGCTGCCCGCGGCGGCTCCCGAGT